CTTTGATCGGCCCTGTACATCTCCTTCTTGTATATATTTGACCAAATAATACAGTGAATATACATAAGAATTATTTCAGTATCCTAGAGTCGTTACCTTCTACATGGTATCAGAGCGTTCGTGAGGGGAAATGACGATGATGACTGAATCTTCTGGCAGCGAGAAGGAGACACTCTCCCAGCCCGAGTCGAACACTTCGCCAGCGACAGGAGGCTCCTCTGTTGGTGGCGCATCGCGCCTTGTACCCGCTGGGTTCGAAAGCTCAGCCGTTCTGATTGTCCTGGAGAAGCTTTCCGGCGACAACTATCGTGAATGGGCACAGTCGATCCGGCTTGCCCTTGAAGGTCGTGGCAAGCTCGGCCACATCACTGGTGACCCGCCGCCCCCACCGTCATCCGATGCGAAAGCCGTGAAAATCTAGAGAACCAAGGACGCTATGGTCTGTTTGTGGTTGGTGAATGCCATGGCTCCTGCCCTCAAGCGTTGTTTTATGTTCCTCTCTCCTGCACGTGAGATGTAGGAGGCAGTCCGTGAAGCTTACAGGGATGAAGAAAACGCGTCCCAGGTGTTTGACCTCAAAGCAAAATTGTGGGACCTAAAACAAGGGTCTCTCTCCTTGGGAGATTATTATCTTGCCAAAACTACCCTTTGGCAGGAATTAGATCTCATCAGTGACGACAGTCCGTGCTGCGCTTCCCATGCTGCCAACAATAAAAAGAAACTTGAAAAGGAGCACCTCTTTGAACTGTTAGCTCGCCTCAACCCTGCCTTTGATGATATCCGAGGTCGTATTTTAAGTCAGGATCCTCTCCCTTCAATTCGTGGGGCCTTTGCCATGCCAAGAAGCGAGGACTCACGTAAGAAGGTTATGATGAAAATTGACACCACTCCTCGGCCTCCCACCATTGAGCCCTCTACACTTGCTGTTCGCTCCACTAATCAACAACATAGCAACACCAAACAGACCCACATGTGAGCACTGTAACAAACAGGGCCACACCAAAGATACATGCTGGGATCTCCATAGAAAGCCAGCTGATTGGAAACCCCGGAAGGGAAAAGGCCGTGGTTATGTAGCTGAAGCATCTCAAAGTGAGGATTCTGCCTCGCTAAATCCAGGACGCCCTGATGATGCACTAAGCAAAATCCTAGAACGTCTTGCTGCATTAGAGAACAATCAATAAGCTAGAAAGCCACCGGTTGCTACAATAGTTAAACGAGGTAACTTTTTTAAAGCTTTGGCCACAATCAAAGGTATGAGTTCTAGACATTGTTGGATTGTTGATTCTGGAGCCTCTGATCATATGACTGATGATATCACTCTCTTCTCTTCTTATACACCTACCACATCCTTACCACCAGTTAAAATTGCCGATGCCTCTGATTCTGTAGTTGCTGGTATTGAGAGTATTAAGATATCTGCCACACTCACTTTGCATGCTGTCTTACATGTTCCAAACTTGAAATGCAATCTGTTATATGTGAGTCAACTTTCGAAACAAGAAAGATGCCATGTTGATTTCTTTGCCACTTATTGTGTTTTTCAGGATCTGTTGACGGGGACAACGATTGGCGTTGCTAAGGAGTTTGATGGTCTTCACTACCTGGATGATTGTGTTGATCACCGTGTTAGCTCTTGTAATAAAGTGTCTCTCCCTAGGACCAGTGACTTTGAGTTATGGCACAAATGTTCCATTCTATTTGCTCTAATAAAGATTGTTCTGAATTTTACTGTGACGCTTGTGAACGTGCTAAACATCATTGTACCTCCTTTACAAATGTTTCTTATCGTGCGTCCTAACCCTTCACCATTATCCAAAGTGACCTATGGGGACCTACTCGTGGTCCCAATCGCACGCAGTCAAAACAGTTCATAAGTTTTATTGACGATCACACCCGTGTAAGTTGGGTCTTCCTGTTGAGAGATAAAACTGATGTTTATCACACTTTCGTTGACTTCTATCACATGATCCACACACAATTTCAAACAAAAATTCAGATTGTTCACACTGACAATGGCACTGAATACTTCAACACCAACCTGTCATCCTTCCTTAAAGAACACGGCATCCTTCATAAAAGTACCTGTCCACACACACCTCAACAGAACAGCATTGCCAAACGAAAAAACCACCACATCCTTGAAACTGCCAGAGCCAGAGCCATTATGTTTAGTAGCAATGTACCCAAATACCACTGGGATGATGCCATCCTCACTGCCACTTTTCTCATCAACCGAATGCCTAGTAAACCCTTGTCATACAAAACACCCTTGCAAGTACTTCACACTCACTACAACCTTCCTTACTTGGAAAATACCTTGCCTCTGCGTGTATTTGGGTGTACCTCGTATGTCTACCTCCATCACCATCACAAACTTGATCCCAAAGCCATCCGTTGCATCTTCCTGGGCTATTCTAGCGCTCAAAAGGGGTACAAATGTTACGATCCTACTTCCAAACGTCTTTATGTCATGTGTGATGTTACCTTTCATGAAACCATTCCGTTTTACTCCCAGTCTTCAATTCAGGGGGAGAATTGGAGTGAATCTCAGACTAATAAAGAAACCTCAGGCCATGAACCCGGAAAACTTGAAACTGAGCTCCTATTTGACCCATTCCCTGTCTTTGAGGACCCTGAGAGTGAAACAATACCTACAAGTAATAAGGAGGTTACTGACTTAGGGGGAGACACATCTAAACAAATACAGACCTATGCATGAAGACACAAGACAGGTACTGTTCCTCAAGCTACTGAAATAACCCATGAATCCGAACCAGAAACTGATCCAGACCAAATGCAACATGAAAGAGAAGAGGCTACAGAAAGACAGGAACCAAATGATTTTAACCTGCCTATTGCAATCTGGAAACAACCCAGAACATGTACCAGACATCCCATTGAGAGGTTCGTCTCTTATCAGGCCCTCACATCAAAATATTGTGCTTTTGTCTCTCACCTTGATAATGTCAGAATCCCAAATGGCATAGAGGAAGCCCTGGCCCATCCGGAATAGAGACAAGCAGTTATGGAAAAAATGAAAGCCTTGAAGAACAACCATACTTGGGATATAGTTGACTTGCCAAAAGGAAAAAAGGCAGTAGGTTGCAAATGGGTGTTCACTCTAAAATACAAAGCAGATGGCAGCCTTGACAAGTATAAAGCGAGACTCATCGCCAAAGGCTTCTCTTAGGTATACGGCATGGATTATACAGAAACATTTGCACTCGTGGCAAAACTAAATACTATTAGAATTCTATTCTCACTGGCAGCAAACCTAGATTGGCCACTCTATCAAATGGATGTAAAGAATGCCTTCCTCAATGGTGAATTGAAGGAAGAAGTATATATGAGGTTGCCCCCAGGATTCCCTGAAAGAAAGGCAAACCAAGTGTGCAAACTAAAGAGGTCGCTGTATGGACTGGAACAGTCTCCCCGAGCATGGTTTGAGAGGTTCACTGGTGTCCTCAAAACACAAGGATTCAAACAGGGACAGAGTGATCACACTATGTTCTTCAGGCATCTAAATGGGAAAATCACGGTACTTGCAGTATATGTAGATGATATTGTGCTTACAGGAAATGACCTATCAAAGATTAATCGTATCAAGGGGGCTCTAAGTAAGGAATTTTAGGTCAAGGACCTAGGAGAGATGAAATATTTCCTAGGAATGGAAGTGGCCAGATCAAAAAAGGGAATCTACATCTCACAAAGAAAGTATATCCTGGATCTTTTGAAAGAAACCGGGATGCTTGGGTGTAGGCCAAGTGACACCCCCATACGTACAGACAAGATTGGGGATGACGAAGACCTAGGAAAGACAGTTGACCTAGGAAGATACCAACGAATGGTGGGAAAACTGATATATTTATCTCACACACGACCAGACATTGCCTTTGCTGTAAGTGTGGTAAGCCAACAACACTCACATGACCCAAAATTGAAACATCTAAATGAGGTGTATAGAATTCTAAGGTACCTAAAGGGTTCACCAGGACGTGGTCTCCTCTTCAAGAAAAATGGCCAACGGAATATTAAAATGTTCACAGACGCAGATTGGGCAGGTGATCAGGATGATCGAAAATCAACTTCAGGGTATTTCACATTTGTCTAGGGTAACTTAGTCACATGGCACAGTAAGAAGCAAAATGTGGTGGCCAGAAGCAGTGCTGAAGCAGAGTTTAGGGCCATTGCCCTTGGAATTTGTGAAGGTATATAGGCAAAGCGAGTGCTTGAAGAACTAACAACAGGTGTAAATCTGCCCGTAAAACTTTACTCCGACAACATGGCGGCGATCAACATCTCCCATAATCCTGTCCAGCCTGACCGAATGAAACATGTGGAAATTGACAGACACTTTATAAGAGAAAAGATTGATGGTGGATTGATTGATCTCAGGTATACACTTCAAGGGAGCAGACCGCTGATGTCCTCACAAAAGGACTTCCCAAAGACAAGTTCGAATTTCTCATAGGCAAGTTGGACATGATTGATATCTATGCTCCAACTTGAGGGGGAGTGTAGAATATACCGCGGATTATTAGGAGAAGATACAGCAATGAAATTATAGATATGAGTAGAAGATTTTAGGGATATTATTTCCTTTTTTACGTTGATTGTAATCGCATGAAATCAGGCCACTTTGATCGGCCCTGTACATCTCCTTCTTGTATATATTTGACCGAATAATACAGTAAATATACAGAAGAATTATTTCAACACCCTAGAGTCGTTACCTTCTACAATAATATTATCTCAGCATTATGGAGATACTCCTAATTGGCTACTGTGAGTGAACAAGTGAGATACTTGTGAAATCCAGTAGAGTGTTTGTGTGAGTTTATTGCTTTCAAATTACCTCAGTTCTTACCATAAACCTTGCCATTTTTATAGTAACTTAAAAACATGCACAAGTTCTTCAACATTTCACACGGGCAAAGCCAACCCCACCCAACATCTAACAAAAAGGAGGGCATATGATTTGTGAGAGTTCAACTTACATTCCTAAAATGTGATCTCCTGCCTCCAGAAGTGTGATTTTAACAAAATCTTTTATCTTGGGATATAATTTGACCAGATCCTCATTAACGAAATCATGAAGTGATGCTGCAAATTCCACTCCAGTTGGGCCACCTCCGACAACAGCAAAATGAAGAATTCTCATCTTATCTTCTTCGCTAACATTTGGCAGACTTGCTCTCTCAAAGCAGTCAATAACTGCTCTTCTGATTTTTTGAGCATCTTCTACTTCCTGCCCATGCATATCCACAAGGTAACTACAAACCAAAAGCTTGTAAACATGCATAAAAAGAATCCAGTCTGTACTAGAGTCTCCAAATCGACGAATTTGTATTCCTTGTCACTTCAACTTACCTTTTCAGAAAAGTAAAAAAAAAAGGGGGGGGGAAGCAAGGCAAAACTGTTCCTCATTTCTGTACACAATTCATTTCAATGGCAAATAACAAGGGCTAATGGTCAAGGAAGTTACCTTCAAGAAAAGACAATTCTCCACCACTCCCGGAGTATTGAATGTGTTGACATTAGCTCCCACGGCTATGATGAGGTAGTCATAATCCAAAACGAATTCTTCTTTCTCCTTCAAATTATTTTCTACACTGGATCGGCAGTAAACTTTCCTGTTTTCTGCATCAATCTTCACGCATTCTGCTTCACTGAATTGAAAGTCGACCTTTTTCTGCTCATAGGAAGACAAGAAAAGGTCCTAGTTACATCCTGTGTCTCCTCTTACTGACGTAATCTACTAATTATACGACTCATGAGTATATAGCATCTAGCAAAATCTTAGTCAGGCAATTTCCTTCCCCAAAACTGTTTTTGATTATAGTAATTGGAAAACATAGCAATACATCTTAAATAAAGTTAGTATTTACATTTCAGAGGCTTTAAACATGCGTTTTCAAGATCCAATCATTTTTTCCCATCTCACAGATGGACCTTTGGGACGTGAGCAAGCAGTCAACCAAACAAACAGTTTCACAACTATAACGAATGACAATCTGATACGTAATTTGGCGTCAACAGTTATTATATAGTGTCTATGACGTTAAGGATGGATGGCTAAAAATTGACAGATGAAATGAAATGTTACATGCCCCTGTAACAAGTTAAGTCATATCCTCCTTCCTTAAGGCCAGCTTCCTCACAAAAGGATTCAATATGAGAAATTACTAACAACGATTAAACTCTGCAGCAGTAGAAATTTAGTCCAACAGGCTTTTTCGTCACCTTCCTGAAAAAATTGCGAACGGGTTCAACAATGCTGCGTGCTTCGACCGTACCGCATGTAACACTAGGAAGCAAGGGGGTGAATGCAAAATAATTACGAGGCGATACCACCTGAACCTCGTATCTCGGGTTATTGAGATTCTTCAAAAAGCTTGTGCCTGCCCAACCGGTTCCCAGCACCAACACCTTCTTGTCGTTGATTGTTCCAGATGAAGCAGCCTCCGCATAAGCCAAAAGACCGCCTCCACTGGATCAGGCAAAGTATTCGTCTCAGAGCAATTCACAATTTCCATAGATCTATTCACTAAGATTTAACTAGTGCCTAATTGCAAGAATCTAAATAAAAAGAAAAAAATCAGCCGCTTTGATCCGGAGAGTCAAAGTAGCAAATGGGAGCAGAGAATCATTTAAAAAATAATCATCAAAACGGTACTACTTAATTTGAATTGAGAATTCATGATTCAGGAATATTTCGATTCAATTTTATTTCGAAAGGAGATTAGCGAAAGACTGAAAGAGTATCTGATGATCAGACCTTACGGTGCAGAGGACGACAAGTTTGAAATGCGAGGAATGGTCGTGAAAAGCTCTAGATACCCGTTGAAAGAAAGTGAAGCTGCACATTTCTCTCCGGCTTTGTGAATTTCACTGCAAGGTTCTGGCAAAAAGATCCGAGTCCAAAATTCCGGGAAATGACACAGCGAGAAAATATAGGACGAAAAGAGAGAGAATGGAGCAGAGGAATCTGGTAACTTCTTTCTTCTTAGTATATTATACGGCAGTTGGCTATGGAGCAGTGGGCCATCGAGAATCCGAACAATGGGGAGACACAACTACCGCGCCGTGTAGTTTTTTCCCCTTTTTACCATGATCGTACCGTGGAGTTGATTGCTAGGCTGTATCACATTTCACGTGATAAGGAAAAATACAACATGAAAATAAATTGGTGATCTTAATAAAAAGCAAATGGTACAACTAAAGGTTGCCACAGTTTAAATAAATTGGTGATAACGGAGTTTATTTTCATCAATGAATAACTATTAAAAACATATGTTTAAATAAGTGAAAGACAAAAAAGACAAAAAATTTAATTTAAATAGATTTTAATTTTTAAGTCTATCAATATTTATAATTTATCATATCTAACATAGGAATTGCTATTAAGTTGCTATGAGAAGGTACTAAACATAATTAAATTCAACCACTATAAAAAAACAAAAAGACGAAAGACAAGGTTTTATCCCAACTAGTGTAAATCCCCATGCGATCCATGGCTAGTGTTAATGATTAAGTAGATCGATTCATTTGGAACGTTTTGGGCAACCAACGATAAAATTTACAATTCATTGGTTTCATATAATTTTTTTTTTTTTACCAGAAATTGGTTTCATATAATGAAACAGCAAGTACTAAGCAGTTGCATACATTTTAAGATTTGTTTAAAAATTAAAATGAGCAAGAGATAACCAAGAGAGAAAGGTCTTAATTTTTAAAATTTAAAGCCATAAAAGCATGTGGAAATCTTCTAGCAGAAACCATCAGAATAATTGTTCTCTTCATCCTCGCCAATATAGAACTTGAACTGATCACTAAATGGGAAAGCATGATGGAAATGGATTTTCATCATATTTTTCCGATTCCAAATAGTTCTCTCACAAGTATATCAAGAATATTGTGTGTTAGAAATCATGCGAATAACTAATACAGGAAATATTATGTACTGTGATGATGGGAAGAAATTATCATATCTAGGTTTACATAAATGATTGATGGCAAAAAAAAAATGCTTACATAAATGATTAGTAATTTTGACTTGTTTTAAATATGTTAAATAATTGTGGGTATTTTAGGGTCTGTTTGGATTAGTGATTGGAAAAGTAACTTATTGTCAATTTGACTTTTGAAAAAATAAAGTTAGGTAAAAGTTAAATTGGATAAACTTAATTGTGTTTGGATTGGAGTTTAGAAAAATTAGTTTGTAAAAGTGAGATTTGTAAAAGGTTGTTTGGATTATAATTGAATAAAAATAAGCTTGTTTATAAAATTACCAAAATAGTTATGAGTTTTAATAAATAATGGAACATTATTAAAAAATAATTTTACATAATACAATGGATTTAAATTAATTTAATATAAAGAAGTGAAATTTAATTAGTGAACTAAATTTTAAAACTTTAGAGAAATCAAAAAAAAATATTTTAAATATAAAGTGAAACATTATTAAAAAATGAATTTACATAATACAATAAATTTAAATTAAGTTAATATAAAGAAGTGAAATTTAATGAGTGAATTAAATTTTAAAACTTTAGAGAAATTATAAAAAATATTTTAATAATTGAGTAAGTAATTTTAACAAAAGTATATTTCTAACTTATTTATTACTTTCAACTAATTTTAACTGATTTTTTGTTATCTACAAATTAGTTATTTGAGACTTATAATAAGAACTAAAGGAGATAATAAATTTTTTAAATTTTTCTCTCTCCATGTTTCAAAAGCTATAAGAAATAAGCCATTAATTTTAGCTTATAACTTATTGTAACTTTTTATATAAAAGCCAGATTGCTCAATCACTAAGCCAACAGCACAAATTCTCCAAACGGGCTTATTCTTGAAAAATAGAAGCTTACTTGCCTCTAAATGCTTAGCCAAACAGGCTCTTAATCTGAATATATGTGAAATGAAAAAACCTGCGTGTTCAAATCATGCACGGATTCAACAATATAACCTCCACAATTACGTATCCAACTGACTTCGAATCTCTTTTGGGGGGGGGAAGACTTCAAATCAAAACCACGTCAATAACAACATCTTAAAAAACGATAATAGTGATTAATCAATGAGATAGGTAACAAACAACAAGAACTGTATTTAATTCTTTCACTTAGTTCGGTCCAACATAATTGTAATCAGGACTTTCTACAATATAAGGCTTCATACGAAGCCATTTGTATACTGGAATGATAATTATTATTGTAGGCAAGCTTACTAGCGATGAGTATTCATCCCAGTTTTCCTTAAAATCTAAGACATAGGCTCTCAACATATCTTCCAATATCTGGATAGTCCGTTCTGTCTGTCTATCAGTCTACAGATGGTATGCCATACTAAATCTCAAGGTCATACCAAGTGCTTCTTGCAAAGCCTTCCAAAATCAAGATATGAATCGCGGGTCTCAATCAAACACAATATTCTTTGGTACTCCATGCAGATGTATGGTCTCTTTAATATATAACCTTGCCAACTTCTCTAGTGAGTAGTTTACCTTCATGGCTAGAAAGTGAGCAGATTTTGTTAATTAGTCTACAATAACCCAAATTGCATTGTATCCTGATGATGTACGAGACAGTTCTACTATGAAATCCATGGAAATACTGTCCTATTTCCATTTAGGGATGTCGAGGGTCAAACAACATAATGCACATCAACACATATGCATACACATCAAGCACATAAGAAAGGTAAGTTCACTACATTTTATCCTTAAGCTTTCTTCTTGCTCGCTTTACTTCCCAACTACCAAGATTACTTGAACAATCTTACCATTCCTCTTTCTTAGTGTCTCATGGTCCTAATTAACATCAACACATAATACCAATCACTCATTAGAGCCATGGTCACAAGTAATATAATACTTTGCTCTATTTAAGCCATAATGTCTCCTAACTTTTAAACTTGATTTCCAATTTTTCTAAAATTAATTTCATATGTTGTTCCCCTATAATTTTGCATGTAGACTCCATTCCCAAGTCAAAATAATCAAAATCCAACTCCTTCCCCGAGAACATACAGTGTCGAGAGGTATAGTGTTACGGCTCAAAATTTTCATTTTCAATTCTAATACTTCCAAACTTATTTTCTCACCTTTAACCCACATAATTTTTCATTCTAGACATATTGGAATCATCAAAATCAAACCCTAACCTATCCAACCGTGATAGAACCAAATCTTTATATGGTTTTCTCAAGTGTTTTCTAATGATTTGCAACAATTTTACCCTCATTATGCGTGCATTTATATCCATTTGATTACATTGAGTCATGCATTGCATTTTGCTGTTTAAGGGATAAAAAGGGTCATTTTTTCTCTTCTAAATTTTAATTGCCTTGATCTGTAATTAGTTGGTCTTTACAAAGCTCTTTGTTGTGATTTTCAGGCAATTGAAGAAGGACCCAAGAACCATGATGGAGCATGGATGGAGCCAAAATGTTACAAGGACCAAAACACAAGAGTTGGGAGTATTCTACCTCCCCAGGTCGTGACATGGACTCCTGAGGTCGCAACCTGGATGCCTCTTAGTGAAATTACATGTTTTGGACCCAAGTCAAGATGAGAGCTCTCTGTCTTCCCAGGTCGCGACATGGAACTTATCAGGTCGCGACCTGAACCTCCTGAGTCGCGACCCTATATTCCTGAGGTCGTGACCTGAGTGCGTTAAGTGAAGCTATGCATTTTGGAATAGGTTTCTAAGCTTCTATACCTAAGGGGGGCAGCCACCACAAAATGACACTTCTATTCTGCAGATTTGCACAAGGTTGAACCACCATCATTTCCTCTCAAGTCTTCATTGATCCTACACCCAAAACTTCAATTTTTCTTCATCTCTTCATCATTTTCTGAAATTTTGGACCGATCAAACCATTCCAACACCCTTCTTATCTACTTTTCCAACTTCATTTTTAGCTTCAACCATGGTTGTTCATTCCTAGAGCGATTGCGATTGGTTTAAAGGCATGAGAGGCTAAACCCTTAGCCTCTTGGTGATGGAGAACGAAGCTTGAGCTCAATGATTTAATCGGGGAGTTTTTCTATAGTCTAAACCTTTGTTTAATGCTGTGTTGAATATTTCTAGATTTAGGAACTTTCTGCACTTGTATCAAACGTGGTTTATGATTGTAAATCTGGTGTTTAGACTATTCTATTGTATTTGGATTGGATGATGTTAATGTTGATTAATCTATATAATATTTCAGTTTGAATCCTTGTGTTCAGTTTGATTTTCAGTGATTATTGTGATTAATCTACGTGCTTGGTATTCTGTGTTTGTCGATTGACATTCAAAGGACATTTGCATCATTTGTTCATCTACACTCTAAGTGGTTTTCAGCAGTGTCTTAAGAGATGTTAATTAACTTTGATTAAAGTGAGTTTTCATTAATTAAGACATTAGACCCAAGTAATTACTTGGGGTTTTCTTCAAATTTAGAGGTTTTCTAAAACTCCCAATCATTCTAAGGAGCAGTGATAGCTGAGTTTTCATCATTAAGAGACTGTTAACCATAATTCTCTTTTAATCCAAAGCATTTCTTCATTCACTTAAAATACCAAAAATAGTTAATTTTCTGCACTTTACATTTGTTGCACCATTTTTAAAACAACTAAAACCCCCTTTTTACAATGTTTTTGAAACCCAATTTAAACTAGGATTTCCAATAACAAGCTCCTCGAGAAGAATGACTGGTTGCATCCTATACTGCATTTTATCTGGTGTAACTCTCTTTCTTAACGATCCGGAAGGTGACAGTTGTAAAACCCTTAACCTCAAAACATTATAAACTTGTCATTAAATCACTACTATGGTAGAAAAGGAAAGCTGTTACAACAAACTACCATAGTAGAAAGAAATTGCATAATTTTAGAAATTAACATTTAAACTCGGTTCAAACTCAAACTCCGTTGCATGCAACTAAAATCAGTCATTAACATTCACTGGGTCTCCGAGCCTCCGGCCTGGGT